TAAATACGTAGCTTCACAACGAAATAAACTGAGAGACTTTATTATTATATGTAAATTATTGGATATAAACTCTAGTTGAAATTTACGTAATCTAAGCATTGTGCCAAATAATAAACGAAAACATACTCTGGGGTTTTTATTTATACGCCCTTCATTTAACCTTGATGATTATAAATTCTTTAATATTATAACTTGGAACTCAAATATTACCCTAATTACATGAAAGGGGAGATGTAAAAGACGCTTATGTTCACGAGACGCCGGAGAATGTTGCTCAACAGCGTGTGAAGTCGTTTTCTACACACGGTAACTTTCTACCCTGTAACAATTTACTTTAAACCACTTCGCTTTTTATAGGAAGACTTGTGAAGTATTTAGTTTAAATCCTAGCCTTGTAATAGATTTTTCTTTTTAAGTTGCCAGTTTGTGTCTATGTTTACGCCCGTTGAGATATTATCTTGTATATTCAAACTTACATTTCGACGTTATTTAGATTATTGTCCAGAGTTCTTTTATACTATTTTAATAGTATATATTCGATCGAAATTAGAGGGCTAAACAAAATAACTCATGTAATTTTTAAGTTGCCTGTTTATATAAACGTATGTAGAAACGCGTCCATTTAGTTCTCCATAAAAGCGTCAACGTAGATAAAGCTCTTTCATAGAATGCAAAGTGTGGATGATACCCGACAGTCAATTGAAATAGTGCCTGCGACGTTTCTCAGGAAATAAGGTGTCACTCAATGGCCGGCGTTGGCCGCGCTGTCACATGTCCTCTAACTGTCATAACTTCCTCCTACAGCTATATCAAACCATTATTTACATGAATATTTGTTTTCAGTTTGAATTTCAAATGTATTGAGTTTGAAAAATGAGGTTGTTAATTTCATTCTTTTGTAATTTCTTAATCGTGCAGACGCTTGGACTAATGAATTATGTTTTGTTACGATCAGGTCGGAATCCTGGAGAAACCGAGAGCTCTTCAAATTTTATTGACATTTAAAGCTATTAGAGATTTTTAACTTGTTCATTTGTTTGAATATTTTTTTATATCAAATTAAAAGAGCGTACTGTAAAACTCATAATTAAAATTTGACTTTTAACGAGTAAACTAAGTTAAAAGCTGAATACACATAGATATATTTCGTAATAACGTATTAAAAATTTCTCGTTTTTGTAGATAGAAAACAATTTTATCATGTTTTTCACTGAAAAATCTACAAAAAATAACTGGACAATATTAATATTTTATAAAACCCATTTTCAGAAACAAAGGATTGTGATGTTGTTGTAACAAGAATAGACAGATTTTAATTAAAACTAAACGTTCCTAGAACAATATACGTAGCAAAGGTTAGTTCGACTTGTGGGCGTGTACGCAGGATATAGTAATTGACATGTCATATCCAGTTACGCTCACAAAGGATAGAGATTGTAGAAAATTTGTCCCGCCGATAATGCCAGTCCGACAACTACGTTGTGTGACCACAGCCCGCATGTGGTCGACATCTCTTGGATGCAGATATTTCTGAAACCTAAAAGTTAAATTATCACGTAATGGGTTAAAAGCTTACTTAAATGTTACATGTGACACACAACTTGCTAAGTTTAGGGTCTGTGTCACAATGTACGGATAAGTTTTACATAAGTTCCAAATTAGCTATTTATTACTTATTTGTAGGATAAACACTATTGTTGGGTTTCACGACTGTCTGATAGCGCTATTCGTCACATAAAGTCCATCATAAGCTATGAGTCCGATGAATGTCAAATAGCACAATTTATCATCCAAATAATTTATGTGTTGCATACCTATTTGGTACTTTATCCATACATTGTGAAACAGACTCTTAAAGTTAACATTTACAAAGGGGATACCACCTTGTCAAAAAACCCTAATTTTATCATGATCTAAAATACTCTTGTCTCATTCTGTCAAATTGTATTTACGATGTAATGAAAAAAGACAAATGAGTGCTTCAGTTAAAAAGGATTAATTATATTGATTTCTTTTTTAAGAATAAAATAGTGCGAACGAAGCGCCTTATATAAAATACAATTTATACTCATATAAATCTTCTATGTTTGTAAATAAAGAACAGGACCGATTTTGATGACATTTTCTGTGTGCGGATTCGGGAATTGTATAGATTTTCTTTTTATTTATTTTTTTTGTATTTTAGACTTATATAGAGGACCACGTCTGTCGGTTCCGCTAGTTTCGTATAAAATGTTTCATAGTCGGTTTTAGAGAAAAATATAATGATTATTTTGAATTTATACCTTTAAACCAATTATCGATCAAATGCCGCAAATTTGATGCTGCTAGATGACACGGACTAGACTTGCCATATTTATTCTCTATATAAAAACGTCAAAATATCCCTATCGCCTCCCCCTCGAAATAAAAGGCGAAAAATAAATGAAACGTGGTATTTCAGCTTTATATAGTAACTAAGACCGTAAGACCTTCTCCCGTAGAAAAAGTACCGCCCTGATTTGCACCCCGGCATTTGTAACGAAGTCGGTAATCTAATAGAATATCAAACGGAATTTAGCAGAGTACTAAAAATTTCACAAACATTGCATGTCCGACAATAGATGAACTTAAAAGCCGATGTTAATTGAATTGGCTTCAGATTGCAGGATGCCGCCAGTGCAGTGGTAATTGTGTTAGCAGCAAACATGTACCCAACCTCTCAACTGCTAACAGGCCGTTTATTTTGTCTACTTTTTTAATAGTACTTTATGCGTAATACTCTATAAAAAAGTTTTGAAACCATATATTAAGTGCTTTAGAATAGACAAAATATATTTGTTATGTTAAATATATATATATATAATTAATAATGGTTGCTGTAAAATATTTGTATTTTGTAAAAAAACTTGGCGATTTAAAAGAGTGACGGGGAGTATATTTCTAGTTCTTCTTGTTCGTTTTTCGCCGTTTGGAGAACTGGCAGTAAATATGAATTTGAAACCATATTTTTTTTAATTTTTATTATAACATTACTGTTCATTTAGTAACCTATATAAATAAATAATATTTTCATTTGCGGATGAAATTTTGAGTTAATTCGGCTCCTACGTTTATGAAATGAGGCAGGAGGAACCTATCTTGAACATCATCATAGCCCTTACGATACGAAGTGTTGCTTCTAAAGTCAAAGCTTATTTAATCTAGAATATCCCTTTATTTTATTTTCCTTTAAATTGATTAACTTACATTGAAGGGATAAATAAAATCATGTGTAGCTAAATGTATGAACGTAAACGTAATGGAATAAAAATGCGAATGAAGCTAATCTTGTTTCATGTTTGCATCCGACAACGTGCATCGTAAATGGATAATAAAATGAACATGCATTATATACCATTTTTACATAATACTAAGGGATTATGGACGTAAAATTTTTGCTGTTTTCGTAATATTTTATGGTTTATTTGATGACTTTTATGAAAGTAGCTAGCTCCAGTCAGGCAGTAATTTGACCCCAGTGGGATTTATCATAAGTTTATTTATGACCCTTGTGTGGAGAGTATCTGTTATAAGAATTTAATGTTCCTACTTAAATTCACGAGAATCGGTTATATGAATAATTAAAAGTTTGCTAAGTAAATATATTTGTTATACATTTTTTATATTGTTTGAAAGAATCTATGACCTTTAACCTCAAAGTTTTGCCGGTCTTAAACTTCGCTTACCTCGATTTACATTAGAAAATAAATTGTAAGTGGTCAGGGCAATTAAGAAGTACTACAGATCATAAACTAGAGTTAAAGAAAAATTGCGATCTTTATCTTAGCGCTGAAGAGGTGCTTGAGTTTTTCTCTTATTCACTTGAATAGGGAGAACCAATTATAAGTTGTAAGTAATCCTCTTATCAGAAACTCTGCGAGTCGGCGCTACCCGCCACTCGGAATATAATTCACTTTATCCATATTCAATATCAGATCGTGCGACGGCGAGCAAATAGAGCGATCCAAGTGAGAATTGTTATTGGATAAAGCCCGCCTCTTTTCTTCTTGTCTATTTTCAATGTTCGCTCGAGTGTGATAATTTACGTGTTATATTCGATATTGCGCTGGAAATGTGTTGTTTATTATGTCTTTATTGGCTCTTCAGGCTGACTTATCGGAAGTGCGAACATAAAAATAAATATTCACGCTTTTCCCTTTCTGAATGTCAGCTTGTTAGTTTATTAAGCCGTATTGATGTTTATTAGATTTTTCTGTATCAATGAGTTCGTAGACGAGTTTGAATTAAATAAGGTCGTCGCATGCAAAACTCAAACACAGATTCTACGGATTATATGAGACGTAATCCTAATCACGTAAGACTCGGAGGTCTGGGAGCTGGGTTCGAACCCCGGTAGTAATCATTATTTTTAATTGCTATGCATTGGATGAATGATTCGAACAGAAAAGTGTTCAATGAAACAAACGGAGGAATGACCCTAAAACATTATTTGTTTCGGTATTTCTCAATATCTTATGGTAATACGACTGCATATGGACGCATATTTTAGTTGTTTTGTTATGCAAACAATTGAATACAGCGTTGAGTTCACTATTGTTCGCATTTATGCCCTGAGTGGCTCTTGTTATCTTGTGTCACGATGATCAACCTGAATTTAACCTAATTATTAAAGAAAAAGTGCAAATTAAAATTTAATTTTTTATAGAACGGGGGGCCAACGGGCAGGTGGCTCACCTGATTTAAGTGATACCACTCACGGACGCTTTATGCCGGAGAGCTCGTGGGTGCGTTGCCGGCCGTTTAAGTGCCGCTCTTTGGTATGTGCGCATATTAACAATATTGTCAATTTTAATATTTTCTTACAAATATAATATGTTGTACAAGGAATATAATGTCTCTGACGATGACGTTGTTAAATAAATAATTCAGACTTTATTTCTATACAAGTGCAGTTTAATAGTTTATCTTCTAATTAATGTTATACATAATCAGAAATACGTTATAAATGTTTCGTGCTTTTAAATTTTTATATGCCTTAACATATTGTAGAATGAATAGGCGGACGCCATTTTCTGCAAACAAAAAGCATCTAAAAAGTTATGCTAAAACCAAACTTACCAACTTCAAAATACTTAAATATTATTGCTGTTAATTTTTATTTTCAAAGATTTTTGGAATTGTTGAATTGGGTTTACAAATTCATATATTAATAAATTTTGCTTACATTTGAAAATGTTTCGATTGAAACCTCTTCGAATCCTGAAGCTTTTATAGGCAATGGTCTCAACGATCTTTGCATAATAAGCACTATGTATGGACGAATGACCGGAGTCGCGTTCCAAAATGGAATATTCCAGCACGCGTAGCAAATAGAACTAACCTGAAACAAAAGTATTCAGAAATGAATGAAAATCATCTGGACTTACATGTGAAGAGTTTTATGTTGATTGTCACAAGTACGTTTAACGAAAACCCTCCTACTTGTGTAAAAAAAAAACAGAGGCGCTACAACCTTTTAGGTCTGGGCTCTAGATTTTTCTATCTGTAGGTGATCAGCCATCAGTACCGGACACACACCGTCGACTTTTTGGGTGTAAGGCATGCCGCATTCCTGACGATGTTTTCCTTCAATGTACATAGTGTAGTGTTAAACTTTGCTTACCTTAATAGATAGGAAATTGCACAAACAACTTGGTATGAATACTGATATTATAGTTGCAATACATAATATTACTAATATACCATTAATTTCGCCAGTTTTTTCCAGAATCTGGAATAATATATTTTTGAGTGGTATTATTAAGTTGATTTTCTATTGGAAGTGTAATTGTTAGAGTAGTGCGGCGTGTATAAGCTATAAGCGCAGTAACAGAAGTTTTTTAAATACTTTAAATATTTTTTTAAAGTTAGTCGCCTACCTATTAATATATCAGACTGTTTTTGTTTGTGTTTGAAGACTGAGAATTAAAAGAACACGCTTCAACAATTAGCATCCATTGTTTAAACTTGATCATAAAATGTAAAGCAATTTCAAACATTAATCTACATATAAAAGTTAACGTCCAATATCGTAACAGATTTACAAAACAAAACAACAACTAACTATTCAGTATAAATATTACCTCAAAATCGCAGAAAACAAAATTATATTATCTCAAATTGTTTAACTCGAGAACAGTGATTTTATTATTAAATAGAAATTGATACCATAAATTCTCTCAAGCTTTCTTTGCTAAGTGAATTAAAAAGCAGATAGAAAGTGAGACCTCGGTTGCACCGTAGGCGCTCAAACAAACGACGGGCGCGCAAACTTTTTGCTCAAACATTAATAATTTTGTATAGACTCGGGCGTAGCTGGTCATGAGTCTGAAAAATAAAATTTCCATAAACATCTACGTTGTGACTTTATTTACATATTGTGTAATTAAAAGTGTTTTTGTTCCTAACTAAAATTATATTCATTTTTATACTTCTGTTATAAAAAGGCATTCCTAGAAATAGAGAATATAAGAGTGTCAAAACTATGTTGAAACTGGGTATTTTGTAGTTTGTTCTTCGTGGAAAACTGCACACATATCTGGATAATAATGTTGGCTTATTTATAAAGAATTTATGCAGACACAATGGCAGTTTGAATCTTTTGTTTATTACGGCGAGAAGTGACTGTGAATACTACTAATAATAATAGTATTCTTATGGACTACAGAGAATAAATAAACTAAAACAATTGAACTTAAATTTATAAACAAAAGTCTGTAATTTATTGAATACCCTTAATTTTAACTTACTCAATCATAGATTTGTGAATTTTAACAATTTCCTGCATACGTTGTTTTAGCAAAGTAGAAAAATACAACTCCTCTTGTTTGTTGAGAGCCGGGCGAATTCCATTCATAAGATCTTCAATACTCCAAATAACTAAGTCAGCCTTGGTAGCTATTTCGCCTATCCACAATATTTGGATCTGCATCATAACTGTTAAACTTTTGTTATTTTATTCCTTCTTAAAAAGGGATCCACAATGAGATTAATTAACATATTTTCTCGATAGACAATTTAATATCATACTAAAATACTTACATATAAAATTTATAGCATATGTCACGACACAGATGTTTGAATATATAAGACATACTTCATACAGAGGTGACTTCCCAATATCGACATGAGGGACCCAGATCGGAAAAGGCAAGGGCCGTGTGCCAATTTCAGAACCATGAGTTTTTAAATACCATATCAATGATGCTATGGAAAATAGCATCATTCCCAATGCAATGCATACCAAAAACACCATGCTGATTTGACAGATTTTCCAGATTTTAAGTTGATTTTGAAAAAATCGTTCCCTATAATAAAATATATTAAAATGTTAAGTAGATCTTACTTAAGAAAGAAAAAACATTATAAGGCTTGCAAGCTTTAGATTATAAATGAAAAAAATGCCGCGATATTTTGTTTCTTAGTCAGATTATTTATTTTAAATAAAAAAAAGGATTTCGATAAAATTTGTAACGCCTTAAAAGTGTTAAGTTTGTTATGGAAGAGCTGGGAAAGATAAAATAAAAATACCTATTTGTGTGAGGGTGACTCAAGTAGGTATTTTTACTTATTTATTTATTTATACTTTATTACCTTATTCAAAAACATATACATAACAAAAATAAAAAAGCAGGTTACAAAAGTTATAAGGCAACGGGCGGCCTTATCGCTAAAAAGCGATTTCTTCCAGGCAACCCTAATGTGGAGCAATGAAAAAGAAACACCTTCAGAGGTAGTAGCAACGCATAATGTAAACAAATATTGATCGTTTTGTAATATTTGTTTAAATCTACTTCGTATTATAATAGTTTTTCGGATTAATAGGACTAACCGGTCATCAAATCAGTCTACTATATTTTTGCCTGAATTCCAGAGTTACAGATTTACTTAAGTTTACAAAATTAACCTTAAACAGCTATTAAAAGTTTCCTCCTTATTAGTTTCACTTTGCAAATAATTTACAGTTATATATTGTTTAACTGTTTAGATGTTTTTAATTAATTAATAAAATTAAAGACAACTATTTCATTTTAACACTGTGGTCTCTATTAAAAACAGAAACTGAAAATGTACCTGTATTTCTTCCCTTTGTTACACACATATTGAAAATCTTCCCTGATAATTCGTAATAAATTGTGATAGTCTGGCAAATTCCATACAGTACATGACATAATTAAAAGCTTGTAAATCATTATCAGAACATAAGTTCCCGACTCTGTCATATATGGAAGGTCGCGGGTGTCGAGTCCATGGTAAAAACCCAATTGTAATAGGGTTAGGGCACTCAGACCGCAGAAAAGTATTAACGCTTTCAGCAAATATCTGTAATATGAAGTAAGCTTTGACTTTGGTGACACTAGGCTTGGCTTTAAGTTAAAATAAAAGTCGGGGGCCTCATAGCCTAGCAGTCTTATTAAGTGGCAGCTAGGTGAGGGGTACCGGGTTCGATTCCCGGTTCGAGGGCAAGTTTTAATGTAATTTAAAATTTGTTCTCGGCCTTTGGGAGGGTTGTGCGGTACCGGGCGAGTGCCTAAACCGTACATGGAGGACATGGTCGAATTTCTAAGGCAAAAAGCACGAATTATAAAAATCTTATACTTGACGCCGGCTAATGCACAAACCGGGCCAGAGCCATAAAAAAAAAAAGTCAAATAAATTGTTATTTACAGCACAGGTTACGCCAATTAATAATATAAAAAACCGATTAAGAAATAAAAATGTGCGAAATACACAAAATTGAAAAAAAAACATTATACATGTAACTTACTCAATGGCCCAATCTCTAATGGAAATAATAATAATAATTCTTTTTTTACATCTCAATATAACAAAACAGGAGAAAATAAAAGAAAGATGACAAAGGATGCAAATGGGTGACCTTACTGCTAAAAGCAGTTGTTCAAATGGTAGGTTAGGTTAGTTAATATAAAATCAACTGCGAAATTTTATTCCTGCATAGTAAGCGACTTATTAAAAGTGCTTCCCTAAACTTTTGATTACGTATGCAATATTTATTACACCGAGGTTAGATATAGATAAAGTCAGAGTTAATTTGTAATATTAAAAGTTTTATTGTATTAAAGTGCTTTAAATAAAACTTGAAAAAATGCTTACGTCCATTTAGGTATTGCCCCATCCCAAACTTGAAAAGCTTTAAGAAACATGAAGCAAGTTTTGTGGAATTCAAAGGGATCGACGTAACCGGTAGAAAAGTCGAAATTTTCTTTGTTGTAAAACCTTTTTACGATAAGTATGATTTAATTTCTTGATATTGATAAAATAATCAAAACGAACACGACACATAAGTCAAACACATGAATATCTAAAACTATATTTTGTTTAACAAAATCTATGAAACTATTTAATGAAACTTGTGTTTTATTAAATTTATGTTCGAATGTGTATTCCGTTTTGGCTTTTGTGTACAATGTAATTGTTTGGATATTGTTTAGTGAGTAGCTGTAGGAATACTGATGAGCAAATAAATAAATAAATAATTAAATGTTGTTAGCCTATATACGTGTAATTTATAAAAAGGGTTCGCGTTCGAATTCCGGCTGGACACATGTATCTTATCCACTAATATTTTCGTTCTCTTACAGTACCGCGTTACTCGTTAAATCTAAAAACTGACGATGTGTGGGAGTTTGACCACCACCTTGCCTTTAAAGCTTAAAATTTATCAATAAAACAGATGCAAAAATCTGAGGCGATTGAAAAACCGTCGCAGCGCCACTGGATGTATTTATGGGGTACTTGCAAGTACATTTATGGATCTCAAAATATTTGGTAAAATAAACTAACAACAACGATTATATAATTAAATATAAGTATAAAAGTAAATTTTAAGAATCGTGCTAAATGATTATTCTAGAAGTCCTAGTCGTCACCAATACACGAACGAATATTCTAACTTATCAAGAACAATACGTAGAGGCTACTAATGACTGTGACAATTTGCTCAAATATCTTGTCTTTTATTACGAACACATTTTCCGGATAATAATTTCTCAGCCAAATTGTAGCTGTTCATAGCCCGGAGCCTTGTACAAAGTAGTTGTAAAAATGTTCTTTCATTGTAATTATGAAACATTAATGAATAGCGACCTAACTTTAGACACTGTAATAAAAAGTTGTACCTTGTGAAAGATTTATACTCGGTTCTTTGTGATTTTTCATAACGATGTTCAACAGGGATTATTTTTTTCTAATTGATTTCTTTTATGTAGACATTCTATCGTTCTCAATTCAAATTCGTTGTAGTTTATTAAAAAAACAAAACACGTAGAATAGCTAACTTTTTATTTGTAATTACATCAAGTCAGTATTGAAAAGATTTTTCTAATTGGAACCTACAAGATAGAACGGGTACATAATATGTACAGGGAATATTATTACTAGTAAAGACTACACATACTTAACAAAATCACATCACAATCATTCGTTAAAAAAATAAGATATTAGTTTATTTATACTCAATATGAATACAAACTTACAAAGCTTAGATACAAATTATTGTACACCCATTTACTACCTAACTTCCTTAAATTCGTCAGATAGACAGCAAATGCAACTAAACACCCATCACTTTAATACAAAGAGCAGTTAAATTACATTGAAACAAATTGCATTGTAATAGTCGCATGGGGTAAAAGTGAGGGCGAGAGCAGAAACGCAGCGATTTCGCTTTCTCAATACTAAAAGTCAAAAATCTTCAAACATCGCGTCCTACCAGTGATGACTTACGGCTCTGAGACTTGGTCTCTTACTTCAAGCCTGGTACACTAGCTCCGCGTCGCACAACGAGCTATGGAGAGAGCTATGCTCGGTGATTCTCTACGCGATCGAATTAGAAATGAAGAAATTCATAGAAGAACTAAAGTCACTGATAAAGCAAAAAGAGCGTATAAACTTAGATGCCAATGGGTGGGGTACATGCCCCAATGGCCCATGGCCGATGGGGCAAAAAGTCCTGGACCGCCGAGGACCAGTTGGCGAAGCGTTGGACGGCCTTCCGCTAGTTGGGCAAATGACTTGGTAAGGGTGGGAGGCGGTGGATGCAAAGCACAGGGAACTGGTCGTACTGGAAATTAAGGGTAGAGTTCCTTGTCCAACAGGCGGAAACAGCAGCGAAAAGCATATATTTTTTTATCAAAAAACGCAAAGACTACCACCATTTGCTACGATCGTGATTTGTCTTCTCTTAACACAGTCCATACGAGTGTTGTTTGCATGTGTAAATAATGAAGAATGAAATGGTAAAATTGATTGTGACTGAAGTACCAGTATAATACTTAACATCTGAACACTTGGTCTCAGATTTCATTATCTGTTTCGTATATTTTTTATCTAATAGATATCAGCTTTCTGTCCCTGACACACGCCGTCAAGTTTTGGATTCATGGTATGCCATTTACCTCACGATGTTTTCTTAGAAATTCTATTGGTGCAACCTACGACGCTAGGGAAAAGAGTCTCTCTTAAGCCACTGCTCCAAGTTTGTAAATATTCAATGGAAAAGATGCTTGTTATATGTTTTTGTTGTTTGTGTGTTTAAGATTTGGGAAACATTAGTAAATTCAAAGAATTGAAATGCAAGTAAATAAATAACCTAATAACTAATTGTTATTTTAATGTTATTATAGGGTTTTAAATATTTTTACTTCTATATATGTGTGTAATTTTGTACTTTCGCACAGTTTTTTAGTAGGTATGTGGGTCAAATTAAAATCGGTGACAGTAAATTTGGAATTCTTCATAAAATATTAATTGATTAAAGTGTAGCGGTAATATCATGACATGCACATAACACTGTAAAATGCAATTTCGTAGTTGGCCGCGATCTTTTGCGTATATTTTCAGGATTTTACGTGATTGAAACCAAAGTGAGGTGAAAATTGAACGACTCTGTTGCCATCATACATTAATTCATAGTTACATTAAAAACCAACCATTTTTTGGCAACTTTTCTTTGAAATCAACATCAATTACATATTTACTCTTATGATATGTTAATCCTCTATAGTACGGGAGGTAGCAACGTTTTCGAGAAAGAATTCCAGGTCAGCTGATTTTGTGATATGTCTTCCTTCTTGCACTTCCGGTTAGAGTCTGGGCAGTCTGGCTGGCGGTAGCGGTTGCGTTCATTAGTGCGCATCCTATCTGTCCAGGTAATAATCCTGGATTTTAAAAGCATTTTAAGAAGCGTAATTTTTGATTTTTCCTTTTTAAATACGTCTACCTGACATACTTTTTTTATTGCCAGACATTTTTCACGTTGCTAACTATGTGCCAGACGCGATTTTAAGTTGTATTTTTATAAAAATTTCAAAGCATTTTAGAATGTCTGTAATTTTAATATTATGTTATTTAAATATAAGAAAAACTGAAAATGAATTTGCCAGACATTAATTCGATTGTTAAGTCTTGAATTAAAATGATAAAGTATTGCAGTATGATGAAGCATTGCATTTTAAGAAGCGTAATTTTTGATTTTTCCTTTTTAAATACGTCTACCTGACATACTTTTTTTATTGCCAGACATTTTTCACGTTGCTAACTATGTGCCAGACGCGATTTTAAGTTTTATTTTTATAAAAATTTCAAAGCATTTTAGAATGTCTGTAATTTTAATATTATGTTATTTAAATATAAGAAAAACTGAAAATGAATTTGCCAGACATTAATTCGATTGTTAAGTCTTGAATTAAAATGATAAAGTATTGCAGTATGATGAAGCATTGCATTTTAAGAAGCGTAATTTTTGCGTTTTCCTTTTTAAATACGTCTACCTGACATACTTTTTTTATTGCCAGACATTTTTCACGTTGCTAACTATGTGCCAGACGCGATTTTAAGTTTTATTTTTATAAAAATTTCAAAGCATTTTAGAATGTCTGTAATTTTAATATTATGTTATTTAAATATAAGAAAAACTGAAAATGAATTTGCCAGACATTAATTCGATTGTTAAGTCTTGAATTAAAACTATTGAAGAATCATTATCGTGTGAAGAACACGAAGAAGCTGATTCTAGGATAATTTTTCATATTTGCCAAATCGATTTTGACGCAGAAGTTGTTATACGCTGTTCTGATTCTGATATTTTAATTATACTTCTGGGAAATATGGATCACCTGAAAAAATCTTTGAAAATTTGGATAAATATGGGTGTTGGAAATCATCAGCGTTACATAAACATCAATGAATTGTACCGAATTCTTGGTGACTCTTTATGCAAAGCTTTACCATGCTTTCCACGCAATCACCGGATGTGATTACACGCCAGCTTTTTTTAGAAAAGGCAAAGTTAAGCCTTTTAAAATATTAGAAAATTCTGAGGAATACCAGTTAGCTTTTGATAATATAATTTCGGATGATAAAGAAGTACTTGAAACTACGTTTGTAACCCTGGAGAAATTTATTTGTCAAATGTATGGAGTTAAAAATTGTTCGATTGTTAATGATGTTCGATTTCATTTATTTTCAAGTACGTTTAAGTCAAAAAAATCAGATGAGAACTTTGACAAAAAATTTCGAAACTTTGACTCATCCAGTTTGCCACCCTGTAAAGTGGAATTGGAACAGCATTTATTGAGGGTTCGTTACGTGACGAAAATTTGGAGAAATGCTCACTCAAAACATCCAACATCTTTATCTCCAATGGCTTTTGGGTGGACCATTAACGGTGACAAATATGATTTTGTTTGGTTTTTGGGAGATCAATTACCATCCTCAGTTGCAGATATTATTGTTCAAAGTAAGTGTTAAATGGAACATTTATCAATAATAACTAAAATGGTTAATAACGAACAAGAAAAATTACACTGTTTATTTTTTTTCTGTTGCAGATGATTTAGAAGATAACGAAAGTTCCCAAGAAGATGATATGAATGACACCGACAAAGACAGCGACGATGATGATGATGATTATGAAGATGACTCTTTTTTGTGACGTCACTATAGGCTAAAACAACTTGTAAAACTCAATATTAATTATTCATAACTTACATTTAGTAATTAGGACAATTTAAATAAAGTGTTGATTATTAATTTTAATCAAATTTTATATTCCTTTTTATGCTCGTACTACAAGCATTATACTGCAATACTTTTCATGACTTTTACATTTTAATTCAAGGCTTAACAATCGATTAATGTCTGGCAAATTCATTTTCAGTTTTTCTTATATTTAAATAACATAATATTAAAATTACAGACATTCTAAAATGCTTTGAAATTTTTATAAAAATAAAACTTAAAATCACGTCTGGCACATAGTTAGCAACGTGAAAAATGTCTGGCAATAAAAAAGTATGTCAGGTAGACGTATTTAAAAAGGAAAAATCAAAAATTACGCTTCTTAAAATGCAATGCTTCATCATACTGCAATACTTTATCATTTTAATTCAAGACTTAACAATCGAATTAATGTCTGGCAAATTCATTTTCAGTTTTTCTTATATTTAAATAACATAATATTAAAATTACAGACATTCTAAAATGCTTTGAAATTTTTATAAAAATAAAACTTAAAATCGCGTCTGGCACATAGTTAGCAACGTGAAAAATGTCTGGCAATAAAAAAAGTATGTCAGGTAGACGTATTTAAAAAGGAAAAATCAAAAATTACGCTTCTTAAAATGCAATGCTTCATCATACTGCAATACTTTATCATTTTAATTCAAGGCTTAACAATCGAATTAATGTCTGGCAAATTCATTTTCAATTTTTCTTATATTTAAATAACATAATATTAAAATTACAGACATTCTAAAATGCTTTGAAATTTTTATAAAAATAAAACTTAAAATCGCGTCTGGCACATAGTTAGCAACGTGAAAAATGTCTGGCAATAAAAAAAGTATGTCAGGTAGACGTATTTAAAAAGGAAAAATCAAAAATTACGCTTCTTAAAATGCTTTTAAAATCCAGGATTATTACCTGGACAGATAGGATGCGCACTAATGAACGCAACCGCTACCGCCAGCCAGACTGCCCAGACTCTAACCGGAAGTGCAAGAAGGAAGACATATCACAAAATCAGCTGACCTAAAATTCTTTCTTTTCAAACGTTGCTACCTCCCGTACTACTATATCCGCTGTCAGTGTGGTCACAATCTCAAGTCGAACACTTACAACTCGCTAGACGCAGCTGGTCGCCGTTAAACCATGGCTTTATGTTACCAGCATTTCTATTAGAGACATAATTATTATGTTAGCTCCAAATTTGTGCTCTTGAAATTGCTACAGTTACGACAGGTAAGCTGAATGTAAGAAATATTGGCAATTCGAATGCTGCGCCACGTTTATTTACTCGAAATTGGTACTAAATAACTGCAAACACCCTCTATTGAAATATACGATTTAAAATAGAATTAAAAACTACAGTAAAAATTGCTGAGTTTTCGCGGCCACAGGTGATTAACGGCGAAAGTATGTTTGTACTTTGTTACGCTTTCACGCTTAAACAGTAGTTTATTTATTCTATGACTTTTAGTATAAACGAATGGGTAATTAATTACCAATATATAAGTTATTTTTCAATACTGCATATTGCTCTCCAATATTTGATCATAATCAGTAGTTTCGGATTTCGCCTAACTTGTATACTTTACAAACTATTTTTTTTGCTAAGAAATTGTGTACATAAAGTTTTATATATATTTTAAGTACCAATTATTTGTGTGAATGTAATCCTAATTCTACATAAAAGAAGTCGGAAGGTATATTAACACTCCTACAAAACAAAAGGAAAAATCCTCTAATGCTTTATTTATTAGTCTTGATGCTCGAAAGTTGGGTCCGGAAAGAATAATATTACCGTAACGGGAGACTTGATTGATTGTAATCCCCTACATCAATGGCTGCTAATTTGAGATCTTACGCTTTTGGCCAAATAAGTTGCTTCGTTAATTCTTCATCCTCTTGGGCTTTCTCAAGTTGTGGTACTCGAGGAGATGTTAATGTTTTTACTAATATATTATGAAGGAGTATAGAGAATTATTTACGAGATCTGTTTCTATTATATTCTACAGATAACTTTACATGTTCTGATTCGTCACCGATGTGACTACTATGGTATGAATTATATAAATTTAACAATTATATATATGTTGAAGATTATAATATACTTGTCTGAGTTGCATATATAGCATAACATGAACGTTTTGTAATCATTTGAAACTATTTTTGTAAAAGATAATTTGTGTTAATAAAATTGACATTATATTTTAAAATAATTTGTATCGCATAGAATTACATTTCATTAGTCTATAATATATAAAATAATTTGAGAAACAAGTAACTCGGGCAAATTGAAAACTAGAAAATTTATTTTTTCGTTGCGTTAAAATCTTTTTTATTTAATAAAAACTAATTAAATTCATTCTAAGAGTGGATTAATCTACAGCCTAGTATCAAACGTGCTTGCAGGCTCGAAAATTCACAGTCCAGGAAATCTGAGCAGAGGCACGTAAATTAAGTTGAAAACGGGCTCAGTGGTGGAGCGAAGGTGGGAAAGCTCAATTATATGCTGGGGGCCGGATGTGAAAAATTAATGTGCTCCGTCCTCACAGTTCGTACTATTAGCAGTAAAGCCAATTAACATTCGAGGTCATACGAATTTTATATTCTTATCCTAAGGGCACTCGTAGTTTTGGCTTGGTGCAAGAGTGCGATTCGACCCTAAGGTCGTTCCTCGTCGTCGGTCGTAATTCCCGTGCATTCCTTTCTTTTCTATCTATACTAACACATGCTTGTCCGGTGACGGTGAACATCGTGAAAAAAACGCCATATCTTCGATCGAACAATCTTATATTAGACTAATCAAGAAAACAGATGCATAAATCTCAGGTCAAGACCAAGCTCGTAGGAAGCCTAGTTATCCTTAGGCAGTTTTATGACTATACCGGCTACTTTGAACGAATTTGTGTATGTACATAACTCGTTAATATTTCTATAAATAAAAGAAGTATTATCTGATCTCATAAATTGGTTTAATTAATATCTGAATGTAGTAGCCGAGAGGGTTTTGGGTTGTTTGGTGGACACACAGTGTTTTTCGTAATTGACGGGGAGAATTGTTTACCATTGTGCTCAAGTCAGTCGTATAGTTTATATTACTCAATTAGTAAAAATACTAATCTTTCTGCTTTTTTTCTTATTAAGCTTTGAGTTGTTCAAGTTAAGCTGATGATTGAGACTTGAAAATATCTAGACCTTGCAAACCGAAAAATAACGAATAAGAACTGTGTGTTATTAATTATAAATTAATGTAATTGTTGTAAACTATATTTTGAGGGTACTTGTATAGTCCGTAGGTAGGCACGTTTGAAGGTATGACCATGGAAGGTGCGGCTTATTGTTACAATTCATATGAATTGTTTTAAACTTAAAATATAGAATTTATCAGTAGAATCTTTTGGTAGATTTCGAATTGGCTACAAATAAATTATCCTAATTCAGTGATACCGCCTCCGTGGCGTAATGGGGTATTACGAACTACAAATACAGTTTGTGATATCTGGCCATATGAAGAAGCTACAATTTTTAATAGACAATTTCGTATTACCACTGTTTCAATACTTCAGACTATGGTTATAATATGCCGCAGAGGCTGGTAACAGAGACCGATTGCCGGCTACCGGGATTTTACTGCCAATTATATCATAACATGCCCAATTATTGTTACGGTTTATGATTTTGTACGGGACTAGGCTCGTATAAGAGATATTTTAGTTATGAATTTGATGGCTATTATGTTATTATTATATTTATAAACAAAAAAAATAAAAAAAATCAGTGGCGCTACAACCTGTTTAGGTCTTGCCCTCAGATTTCTGAATCTGTTTCACTATCATTTTCAAATCTAATAGGCAAGTAGGTGATCAGCCTCCAGTGCCTGACACACGCCGTCGACTTTTTGGGGCTAAGACATGTCGGTTTCCTCACGATGTTTTCCTTCACCGTTCGAGTAAATGTCAAATGCGCACATAGAAATATAGTCCATTGGTGCGCAGCCGGGGTCGAACCTACGACCTCAGGTATGAGAGTCGCACGCTGAAGCTACTAGGCCAACACTGCTTATCATCAACATCATATGTAAATTATATACAAGTTTTAGTGTAAAAGAAGTCGTTTAAATAAGACTTCTCGGTGTTCTCATAAGTTTGTAATCAACGTGTTCATTACGTCGGTAAATTAATGAATATAGCGGCACTTACAATTTAACACTTAACATTTAACTAACTAATCCACACAAGCAAAGTACATAAATTGCAATTTTAAAATATAAAATAGTTAGCCCGTTTTAATTCTGTAAATATGTATAGTTCCGATAACACAGCTTATCTTGTACAACAGTTAAAGCATTCGCGTATATAAGCTCATGAGACGAGTTTGCGAAAGCATGGAGCACACAATTGTTCAAAGTTAGCGTAATGAATACGTGACTTATCTATCAGTCGCAGGCTGAAGAGGTATCACACTCAACAGCTTGCCCCCTTTCAGTCAAACTTACCCTGCTGACACCATTCGTTTATTATCATATTCATACTTAATCATTAAACTAAAAAAAGCATTGTTAAGCGTCTATTTGGTACTTAATCCGCATTGTTAAGTAAAAAATTACAAGTAAAAACTAAAATTCGCAGAGTATTTTTAGTTAATTTTATGTACTCGTATACTGCAATTGTTATGTATTTTAGAATACATAGCATTGTGCCAGTATGTGTGTAAATGTGTATTCACGTAAAACTGTTTAAGAGCATAACATTTGTCGGTTAGTATACAGTCCAAACCCTGAAAAAAGCTAGCTTGTAACATATACTGAAAAATGCATTATATTTGATGTTGCTCCAATCATAGGCAATTGCGTCAAAAAGTCAGCCAACTTCCTGACATGCGTTTGATTGTAAAGAAGATCTCTTTAGTATGTAGCTGGAGCTGTAATCG